TGTGTGTGTGTGTGTTGAATAATATACATGTTTACATCAGAAACCATTAATATGAAGTGCTCTCAGCTCCTCAAGTAGATGTAACAGGTCTAGGATGAAATACGAATTAGATTTGGATCCTGATTCCAAAGAGATTGACTACGGAGATAGCTCTATGCCACGGCCGCCAGTTTTGGCTCAATTCTTTGCCAGTTTTTTTGGGTTGGGAGGTTAAGAAGTCCGAAACTTAGCCCAAGTGTATATAGAGATTGATAGAGATTCTTGGAGGATTATAGAAAACTTTCTAGAACCCTCCCTTTGTAGATATTTTGTAGGAATTCTTTGGAGTGTTCTAGTGAACCACTCCTAGCTATTAGATCAGATAGATCTCCACCGTCCATTAAGAATGTGGCCTAGTATAAATAGGAGTAGTGACTTAATTTGTAATCATCCAACAAATCCAAGACATTCAAGCAATACAAGTACTTTCCTACAAACTAAGTCCCTCCATAGAATGTACATTCAACGGTACCAAGTTTGAAATGAAAATAGTTTTCATTTCCATATTCATTTTTGTCATTTTCGAAATATTTGGTCCTATTTAGGCTTGTGATCATGCTACTCTTACTCTGTTTCATCGTAAAATTATGTCATCCAAACACAGCAAAACCTAGCTACAATGTGAAAATTGTTCCTAATTTTTTAATTTTTTTTGATCTTCCAACAAAAGAAGAAAAATCTTCCAGATACTCTTTGTCGCGCCTGATTAACCGTCACGTTACCCTCCATTAACGATGCTAATATTCTGATTGATCTTTTGACGTCAACTTGGTCCATACGCCTTTCTTCATAGTATTTGATTAGTAGATAGAGATCAGGAACTTGTATTCCATGCGCAACGATTTCTGATAGGTCTTGTTCTTCGTAATGCCTCTGGGTGTTGGATAGCCATTGACGAAAATCGAAAGGAAATTGAGAATTTTGGTGATTTTGTTGTGCGAATGTAAATGTATATATGGCTGAATAAAATTCTTACACAGTCTCGAGATCCATATTTTATTTAAATGAATCTAGACACAAAAACGTCAGCTAAGGTATTACGTGCAAAATTTAATGTTAGCTTATAAGTGTTCGAAGCTCAATTTTAAGACATGCAAAGCTAGGACAAGTTCCACGAAAACGAAAATTTAATAAAATAAAAAATAAATTGGAAACCAGCACTAATATATAATTAGGATGGACTTTATCTCCATCATTAATATTACTAATATCTTAGCTATTTAACAGCTGAGACAAACTAAAAGTTCATAGCCAAATCACCACAAAAGTTTGATTACTACGTAAAAATAATAATTAAAAGGCGATGGTGAAATATTTATACACCACAACACAGACTTCTTACATGCAATAGACTTAGCTTCACCTTATTTATTGAACCAGTGCCGTTGACTTTGAACACAATTCTTTTGACTTCCCATTTTACCCTCAGAGAGAAAGCAACGACGATCAGCTTCCACAGCAGTGATCTCTCCTAAAGTCAGTTTGTTATATAGCACAAGAGGATGTGTTAAAAATGGGATTAAGAGGAGATTATACAGGTGATTATCATTAACACGGTTTCTAGTTTGTGTTTATTCGGGGAAAATACTTTTTTGCCCTTGTTTGAATTGAGTGATTTGCTTACATATTGTGGCTAATTTGGACTTTCTGATGACTGAGATTTCCATAATTTGATTATCAGGATTTCGAATTCAAAATTGGATTCTAGTGAGATTACGAGAATTAAAGTTATTTTGCGCCCCAACTCATGAGCTAGTTAGTGCGTGGAGCAAAAGAATGCGATGTCAAATGACCATAGTTCGAATTCATTGATCATAGGTTAATCCAATAACAATTTTTTTTTTAAGAAAATCATAAGTTATCTGAAATACATAATTGTTCCCGCTAGATCAGCTATATTAATTCCGTGATGTTAGAATTAAGCGATTGAAAGTCGAGAAGAAAATCTTTTAACAACTAACTGTCAGTTTACGTACTTGTAAAAAGTTGTCAGAAAGTCGTGAATTGAATACAACTTTTCTAAGTATTTAAAAACAACTAACGAACTAATTTGAATGTATATGGAAATGATTGAATAAAATACGAGATAATAACTTATATGGAAGAAAAAGAAGAATTGAAGTCACCTACAAACATTGAGATTATGAGTTGATATATATAGTATTCTTTAATTCCTTGCAATAAGATAAGAGTTTTAAACAAAATCATGTAAAAAATATAGGAAAGAAAGGAAATGGGGTTGTTTTTCGTAATTTAGCCTAAGTTCAGAGTTCAGATGGGTTTTCGTACTTTATCCTAATTAATTTAATCATATATATATATATATATATATAATATATGGCACATAAATATTCTTGATAACAAATATATTTCTGAACTGAATAATTAATTGGTTGTTGCTTAATTATATACAGGGAGAAGGCACATCGGCCCATTAATTAAGAGACACAGCCCATTAAAGCCCAATGATACACCTAAATGGGCCAGATTAGGCCATTTATGTTACACAAACATATGGGCCCAAAGCCCGTGAGATGAAGAAGTCGAGCCCATTCACCTAACTGGGCCTTTATAGGACCACTATCTATAATCATATTATTAAAACACCTGATTAGAGTCCTAATCTAAAAGAAACTAGATTAGTACTCTAATTAGGAGTCTTATTGATCTAGTGCTCTCTGCCCTATCTTCTGTCTTAGCGTCTAACTTGAGCGTCGGAGAGGTTTCCGCCAGATCAACTCCGGCTTATTTCACGTGCCCAGTAAGTAGCACGACTGTGGTGTCATGGGACAGAAGTTCATTGTGGATTTTTCAAGATTAACAACTTGGCCCAAAGCAAGTGCAGTGCATAATCTTGTAGTATATAACGTTACACAAACTTATCGGCCTGTACTCGAAGATGAAGGTGTGGTTTAATTTTCTAGGGAGCTTTTTGTTATTAGAAAAATCTAGAACACAATTAAGCACATTATTCCCGAGCACATTCCAAAATTTAGTGATTTGTATATTTTTTTTTGAAATAATAATTTGTATTTTAAAATATAGCATTTTTCAACGTATATTTTTTGTTGTATAAGTTAATTATTATTTTAGATATTTCTTTTAATAAAAGATAAAATTTTAAGATATTAGAATTTAAGATACAAATTAAATTGTGTTTGAGGGGATAAGTGTTACGGATGATACAAATTAAATTAAGGGTGTAAAATGTATTTAACCCTAATATTTTCATCAACTTCAAAATTCCACACCAAAAAAAGTTGAAAGAGTTAAGAACACTACTACTAAACAAGTCCATCAACCAAAAACCCATCGAACAAGTCGATAATCTTATCGAGCACCGCCACCTCATCCCTCCCATCCCGTATTCTCCATTGCAACTTCTCGACATCCGTCACGTCAGCTGCCACATTTTTCTCGAAACTTTTCACGGCTTTCAGCTTTTCTTCAACAGCCAACATGATTCTCGATTCAGCTTCTTGGAGACTCGAAGCACCCTCGCAAAGCTCATTTGCCTTGACTATCAAGTCGAGCCTTTTACGAAGCCACCCGACTTTGACCTTCACAATCTCGAGATCTCCAATTTGACATGAAATAGATTCCATCTCCAATGGCTTTAGCTGCATCAACTTCCGAAGCTTTTAGCCTCTCGTAAATGGGGCAAACCAGCTCCAAAAGGCAATAGCGTGATTCTTTCGAAAAAGTGATTTCTTTGACAATGTCGCCGTGTTTTGCGAAGATGGCTTTTAGAAGTGGGATAATGTTGTGTTTAGTTTCATATATACTGCACTTCTACTTTTAAGTTTCGCTGACAATCTACAATCTTTCCTTATCTATTTATGGTAGTTATCTTCGAATCTCACACTCCAACAGTAATGAAATCGATCAGTTCGTCGTTCGTCGTATCTTCCCTTCACCTCTACTTGCATTAGAAACGTGGGGAGAACTCTCATGTGTTGACTTCTTCAAGGCGAACTTCTAATCCATTATGGTGATCGTGCTCCATGAAGCGAGCTCTTGGCCCATCTTAATTTTCGAGATCAGTCGCGCAAACTTCCATGGTCCATTTTATACTCTATTCGCCCAATTGGGTCTTCGGCCCATTATGCCGAGAAGGTGGGGGTACGACCCAGTTGTCGAATGTACCCCCATCACTTTGTATGCAATATGGATTGATAGAATGGAAGATAAAAGTACACTGTAGTTTCGTCCTTGAAAATTAGAGAACTTTATTGTTTGATTAATGAAAGAGAACTTTATTCTTTAATGTTTAGGACAATAAAGAATTACTATAATAGAAAAGAAAAGTTATTTTATGAATATTTGAAAAATAATAAACTCTTGCTTGAAAGCATTCATTTTGTAAATTATGACAGAGAAAAAAAATAAAAAATAAATAAAAAATAATAAATAAAAATAAATAAAAATAAATAAAAATAAAAATAATAATAATAATAATAATAAATAATAATAATAATAAATAAGGGTAAATTACAAACACCTCCTGAGGTATGGTCAAATTACAATGTTTGAATAATTACAACCACCCCCTCAACTCATCAAATTTAGTGGAATCTTCGAGATTATATTGAATATTATCACTTTTGTACCCGTTTTATCCCATTCAAACTCTACATTATGAAGCAAGATGATCATAATATGTGATTTTTAGCTTGTATATATCAGTTTGTGGTGCATCAGAAACTGTATTTTTACACAAAAAGAGTACAAAGAAAACATTTCAAGGAATCTAGATGACTATGTTGAATTTGGCACCATAAAGGTGGAGGTCTAAGAAAAAATCATAGTTGAGGGGGTAGATGTAATTATCCAAACAAGAAGGGTTTTTTGTAATTTGAGCATACCTCAGGGGGTGTTTGTAATTTACCCTAATAAATAAATATATAAGAAAAAAAAAAAAAAAAAAAAAAAAGCAAATCTAGAAATTGGGGCCCCATATAAATATGTGTGTTCTGGCTCTCTTCTTCGTTAACATCGTCGCTGCTGAAAACTGAAATTTCTCTGGTAGAGCTGTCCTCCTCTTCCCCCACCACCACTATCAGTCTATCTCAATTCTCTCTCTCTCCACTTACACATGGCTGCCTGTAATCCCCTCTCTCTCTCTCTCTCACTAAAACTACACAAACTCCCTTTTATACTGTTATTAATTGATTTCCTGTTAATTATGCTGTTTTTTTTCTCGCTGTTGATGCATGCCTGTGTAACGGGGTTTGGGTTTTATTAATTCTGTTGGATTTATGTGCATACATTTCTATTGAAACTGTCAAATCCCTAGTAATTGATTTTTTCCCTACAAAAACCTGCATTTTGGTGCGCAATGGAATAGTGATTGATGATTTCTTCGCTGATAATTGGTTCAGGTGGTTTTGGGGCTTCAGGAATTAAGATTAAGAGCTTGGATTTCGGTTCTGTGAGGCCTAAATTGAGAACATTGCAGCCTTTGCATGGTTTGAAAACTCCGTCAATTGTTCGATTCGATGGATTGGTCTTGTCGAATCGATCGAAGAAGATGCTAATTGGGTGCCGTAGTTCGTCTCTCGAATCTGATTGTGAGTTTTTTTTTTTTTATGTGAATTTTTCAGCTCCATTTGTGGGATTAACTTTGTGACATTGATTTTGCTTGTTTAGTTGTTGAAGTAAACGTGTTCTATTTAGCCCTAATGATATCGTTTAGTGGATATGATTATTATTGATTTTACGATAAGGATCATTGTAAATGGCTGGTTAGCTATGCGAATATATAGCTCGGTGAAGGTTATACGGCATGCCATAAAAGTACTAAAAGGAAAAACTCGAGCAATTATCGTAGAATCTGTTAAATTGTTAATTCGAACACAATAATCTACGGCTTAAGTTTTTGTTGTGAATTAGGTTATCTAGTACTTTATTGGAAGTTAAATAACTCGGGTGGAAGTTTGATTCGTGATATACAGAGGAGGCGTCTAGTACTTGTCAGTAGATGGCAACATCAGTGAATGAAAGAAAGTGATTTTGTTTTTCATTTAACATATATATAGTGATTCATGTGAAAATTCTGTTTAATTGACAATTCCTTTTACACCTTTCACTTATTCTCGTTCTAATCGATCTTTTTCGTTCAACAAGTAACAGCTAATGCAAGTATAGAGGATATTTCTAAAGAAACTGAATCACCCGAGGCAGTAAGCACACTAATTCCCAATGCATTTGAGGTAAGTTGATTATTCTTCGTGGCCTGTGAATAGATATCCTATGTGTTTTTATCCTGATTGCTGGTTGATTTTCTGTTCGTTTGTCGTATTTCCTAATAAGATTTAGAACAATTGAAAGGAATATTCTTTCGATTGGTGAGGTAGACAAAAAGTTCAACTGGTGTTTACAATCAAAAACACTGTATATTTTGTATAAGAGAACAGCATAAACCAAATATAGAACATAATTATAAAAGGAACTTGTTATGAATAGATCATCAACTTTTATAAATAATTCCACCATCTTACTCAAAATCTCGTTTTACAGGTAGAGTCTCTTTTGACGGTGCTATGTGACACAACATCAATCGCCGAGATTGAACTTAAAGTGAGCAGTTTTGCTTCATTCTTGAATATAATCATCTGAACTTCAATATTATTGAAAAACGTCAAATGTCTTTGGTTAAATTATGTATTTATTTATGTTTCTTTCTTCATTAGCTTGGCGGGTTTCGATTATACGTGTCGAGAGACTTGGCCGAGCAAAACGCACCTCCACAACCTCCAGCACCTGCTCATGTTATTGCCCATTCAGTTGTGGAGACACCCAGTTCAAATGGATCTGCTTCATCACCATCTTTAGCCCTCTCCAAACCAACTTCTTCTTCAGCTGGAATTCAGACAATGCTCGATAAGGCAGCAGATGAGGGATTGGTCATACTTCAATCTCCAAGGGTAAGAAAATTCTTCAACAAATTTCGTTACGAATCACAGTTTTTTTTTCTTTTTTGGATTTGGGTTTCATTAAGATTATACCAACAAATGCAGGTTGGGTATTTTAAGAGATGTCGAACAATTAAAGGGAAGAAGGCTCCTCCTTCCTGCAAAGAGGTTTCTTTTTCTTGTCTTTTTTTTTTTCTTTTTTGTTTTTATAAACCTAATGCATCTTTGTATGATTTTTGCTTCTAGAAGGTGTGAACAGTTTCATGTTGTTGTGAACTTCCTCCGCAAATTTACAACTTCCCATATCGTTATGTTTTCGGTTTGTTTTCATTAACTTCATAGCAACCTCTTTTGGTGGGGTTTAAGGGATTTGTTCACCTGTGTACACATTTACCCTTCTCGATAAAAGTTTTATTCTTTTGACATCCCGTGCTATTTTTTTGATCTGGACTAAATGCACACTCGAAACTTTTATTATGTACTCGAACAATATATTTGAAGACATTATTAAAAAGTATTTATCATCTATTGCATGCCCGATCAATCCAATAATTCCTGCACTATCAATCTGTCATCTATTTACGAGTTATTATCTTCATTTACAGAAAGACACAGTAAAGGAGGGCCAGGTGCTCTGTTTTATTGAACAGCTAGGCGGTGAGATCCCCATTGAGGTTTGTTCCTGACCATGGTTTAGTTAAACTTCCATTCACGGTTAACTTACCTTCTTTGATTTCTTTTCCCTCTTTCGACTGCAATTAAAGAACCTTACATAAGACATGGTTAAATTTACGTTTTTTTTTCTCTCTCTTTCATTTTTATAATGGGATATAATTATGTTTGATGATTCTTTTTTCTTTTCTTTTTTCGCCCCAGTCCGACATATCGGGGGAGGTGGTTAAGATACTTAGAGAAGATGGTGGTACGCAAAAAATTATTCCATTGATTTTGTGTCGAATAATATTATCGCATTTTATCTACAATTTAATAATTTTATGGCATCATATAACGACTGTAACTCTTCAAAATTTGCAGCTCCAGTTGGTTACGGGGATGCTCTTATTGCAATCCTTCCTTCATTTCCGGGCATAAAGAAGCTTCAGTAGATCCACCGAATGTAACTTTTATCAAGATTCTTGCTCTCAGTTCTTTATCTTTTTCGGTAAATTTTCATTAATTCGAAAAGAGTATTTGCTGCTTTTACAGAAATTTGTCCAAGGGCTTCTAGAAGTCTTGTTGTATTGATTGTGGGGATTTTTATTTTTTTCTTTTGCTGAGTTTTTCTTTTAGCAAATTGGTGATGACATTTATTGATAGGACTTGGAAAGCTTGAAATTTTGAATTTATTTATAATAAATTTAATTGTATTTGTTTGAGCAATGGATTATCCTTTTGAAAAGTAATTCTAAACTTTTTTGGGGGCATAATCACTTTGTAAGTATTTGTAATACCAGCTTTTGCTTCTAATTCTTTGAAAATACGCTGCTTTAATTTAAATATGAAAAACACTCTCCGATCAATTCTCCTAAAAAGAGTTGCTGGAAATTGATTTTTCATTGAATTTTGCAAGCACCATCAACATTTAGAAATGTACATTTATCATTAAGTTAGCTCATAATCACCAATTTCTATTTTTTTTAAAGGCTTTGCAAACACCACCTAAATCCAAGAAATGGACGCAATATCGATGGTTATTACAGTCCAAAAGACGAGGAAAAAATCAACTTTATCTGATTTAAATTACAGAATTATGATCAAAACTCAACAATTCACAAGAAAGTGCACTAGCGGACCTAGGATTTTAAGTCTGCAGAGGCTGAATGCATAATATTTTTTAATATTTTTACAAGGGGCGCATTTATGCTAATATACACGATTATTTTTAAATTTATATAAAATGAAAGGGATTTGAAAAATGTTGGGGGGCGATGGCCCCCTGGCTCCATGCTGGTTCCGCCACGATAACAATATATTTAAAATTGTGTGTGAAGTATAATTAGATAATGAAAAAAGTTGGTGAAATGAGGGCGAATTCTGTCATTTCACAAAAATCATACCTCTGCATGATCGTACTACACGTACGGACTGCAAAACACACAAGGGTTTTCTGTGATAATCACAAGTTCATCGTTTCTTCCTCTCACAAAACCCCAAATCCAAAATCAAAATAATCAAAAATCCCTTTAAAAAATAATATGCTTCTGCTTATGAAACATCTTCGTTCATCATCCATTGAATCCATGGCCGAAGTTTCCAGTTTCCGCCATTTCCATGAAATTTGAGTTCTCCACTCCCCAAATCCACTGACGAATCCTCTGTTTCCTTCCACCAAACCCTAACAAAGCAAACATGGCCCATTTCAAAGAAAACCCATTCGTCCAATCGAGAATCCGTACTCGCCCTAATTTCGATTTCAACAAGCCGAGAATACCCCTTTCAGTCAACCGCTCGAAGCTCAACATCCCTTACAAGTCAGAAATCTGCTCGCTTTTCCAAAGGGGGAAATGCTACTACGGCGATAATTGCCATTTCTCTCACACCACAACTGTAATCAGAAACCTAGGGTTTCAATCTGTTGCTGCTGCTGCTGTGGAGGAGCATCTGAACAACGAGGAGGAGGATGACAGTCGGAGAAATTCCGTTTACGAATCGAAAGTGTGTCGTTGGTTTTCCGGTGGGGCGGTTTGCCCTTTCGGTGATCGCTGCTCTTTTCTTCATGTAATTGAAGAGAGAGTTCATAGTGATCATGAGATTCGATGCTGGAATTTTAATTACGGTGTAAACTGCGATAAATCGGTTTGGAAAACGAAGCTCTGTATGAAGTGGTTGAGGTTCGGTGACTGTCCTTTTGGACTGAAATGTAGCTATGCCCATGGGAGAGAAGGTTTTTCGTTATCGATTTTTTTCGTAGTTTGTGCGTTTCAAGATTGTGTGGACGAAATCTTTTCTCGTAAATTGCCGATCACTCTGTTTCAAATTGTGTGCTCGATCGAGTATATATGCGTTTGAAGTAGATCTGCTAATTAATCCATGTGACGATTGATCGATTTCTTTTGATACGAAAAATTCGTAGATAACTTGTTTCGTATCTTGTGGAATTACTATATGTACATCAAGAAGTTACCGAAGTTGTGGCGCTTTTGCGTTTAATGGTGTTATTATTTCTTAATTCTTACACCGATTAGTTTTTTTTGGTGGACAGAACTTCAAGAAGCCGGTGCGTATGCTAAGATGGAAAGTAGATGTACGAGATTTGCTGGGAAACGTCAAAATGCAGCGTCGTTGTCCGAAGTAGGAAAGAAGATTGCAAAGAAGATGCAACTAAAAGGCAAAAGGTGTTTGATGGAGTGGAAATTTAAAAAGACGAATCGAATCTATGCCGATTGGATAGATGATACCCACAATTTCGATGTTTCGTTCAGCAAAGTCGAGAGCTAGAAAGAAGGAAGCCTTTTACCCCTTTTTTTTTTGCTGTGTCCTGATTCTGAAAAACACATTGTTCTGTATATGACTTGCAATGGAAGCACTTTTCCGAGATTTAATTTCGCTGCCTTTTTTCTCTCACCGACGAGATTTTACTTTCCTACATGCATAGACGTACAAACCCTATGAACGAAGAACGAATAATGTTTACTTTTAATCATTACGAGAACACGAGAATTTCTCCTGATAAAATCGAGCTAAGAAAGTTGTCTCGTTGCTTGTAAAAACACCGATACGAAGAGGGTTTCCAGCTTCGAGTGGTCTCAAATTAGCTTCTTTGAGTTCATTTGCAACACATTCACCGATGCTAAGAAATCGAACAGAGCATCCTTGTTTAATTCCATCATGCCAAAAAATGTGATTTATTGCAGGACAAGATCACAATGCAAGAAGCCCTCGATTTCTCGAGGAATATTCTTTTTCGCCTCAACTTTTTCGACTATTGAACTTTCAGATCTGAACAGCGGATCAAGGATGCGCTATTTTCTTCATCCTTTAACTTGGTACCATTAGCCAATTTTTTCGGTGAAACGCAGTCTTGAAATGACTGAAACGCCCCCCGATTATTCGGGTACAATTTATGTAACAAAAATTCAATTGTATTTGGCTTGTGAGTAATTAATTACTTAGCCATTTAACAATGAAGTCAAATCAACAACATCTAATAAGCTTTCTCACATCCCTTCTCATCGAAAACAATGCTATAACTATTGTCACAATCATTTCTGGATATACGCAAACATCTTCACTTCGATATTTACCGACAAACGTTTCTCGTACAATACCCCACAGTACTAAAATTAAACCACATACGCTCATTCGCCCTCGTTTTATAAGTCCTAATATCGCTCCAGCCACACATAGGTAACTTCCTGTAATAACCTGTCACAATTAAAAAAAAAAAAAAAAAAAAACATTGGCTTATTCTTTGATTCTGTGTTCAAATTTTATTACATATTCAATATAAACAAACCTCCAATTGTTTGAGATCAGTTGTGGGAGGTGCTTTGCTCATATTAGACTTGTAAGAAGTCAGAATCTGATCGCGATTCGGGACGATTTTACCCTCCGTAAAAGAAGTTATTATGGCTCCCGGATAGAGAATGGCCTTCACAACGAATTCCGGGAAAATTTCACCCGCGATTAATTCACATGCCGTTATATCTATCGGAGTTCGACAAGTGCCGATTCTACATGGAAATCTGAAAATCATCAACGAAAACAAAAATACAAACCAATCAGATTATTTTGTCTGAATTTCTTTTTCAAGAATCCAACACATTTAGATGGTGTGAACATTTTTACATTGCAAAGGCGAAAAAACCTATATATACATATATATAGTAGTAAAAAAAAATTAAAATGAGGGGGCCATGACCCCCTCCGACCCTACACTGGCTTCTCCACTGCATAGACCACTTATCTAAAATTTCTTGACTTAGTTATAATGCAATTCTTGGATATTAAGAAAATGAGAATAAAAAACATGTGGGGCAAATCAAATCAGAAGATTAAGAATCATATAATAATAATAATAAAGCAGTGGCTGCTGTCATCGGTGTTTAGAAGGATTAGAGAATATATAATGTTGAATTATAAATAGAAATAATCATCAAAATCAATAAATAAATAACGTACCTAAAAAGTGGGATTTTTAAAATAATTATGACGAAGTAGATGCGAGAAGCGACGTTAGATATTATCTCTGCCCATTTTCTTGATGAAAACCCCATTATTCTACCAATTACTGCAAACTGTAAAATTAATTGATTTTCCTTTTTCTTTCTAGTTACCCTAACCCTATTTAATATTTACGGTCATATATAAGTCCTTGCTAATTTTTTTAACATGAGGACTTTTTCGACAATTCAAAATTATTCAGAGGTAGTTTTTGCCAAAAAATAAAAAAAAAAAGAAAAAAGAAAAAAACCCTAAATGACCTTCGTAGGGCTAATCTCATCATAGTTTAATAAAAAAACTTTGATCAATTCACTCAAGATAAGGGGTTTAAACGAATCGAGCCAAGTCGAACTGACATAATTATTCAAACTTGTTTGATTTTTTAATTGAAATTTCAGAGTTAAATTTGGACTTGGTTTGACAAACAATATCCACTCGAGCTCGAATCAACTTCAATCAAACCGACTACGAGTCGAACTCCAGTGGAACTTCATAACTTACCAAACGAAAATATGTTTAAACTTGATTCGATACATTCAAATTGAGCCCAAACAAACTTTTAACGAAAGATCTCGAATCCAGCATCGAGTATTCAAATCAAACAAACTTTTAACGAAAGATCTCGAATTCGACATCGAGTATTCAAATCAAGTGTACCATTTTCAGACATGCAGCCAACTCAACTTTCTTTCTTCGTAGAAGAGGGCCCCACAAAATTAAGCTTAAAGATGCAAATTGTTTCTATTCATTCATTTTCATTTGGCCTTTCAACTCTCCAAGAATCACAACTTTTAAATTTCCATTGCTTATTTATTTTCAAAAAAAAACAATTATTGATAAAAAAAAAAACAAAAAAAAAATTTGACACTGCTGCATGTGGGTCAGATTTCATCAAAGTTCATGTAGATTTGCAGGCACACATCCCTATGCAAGAAATCATAAAACCCCTGTAACAATTTGTCAAAAACGTTGTCGTTTTGGAGATATGTGGAGCAATCTTCCCTTTGATCTCTTGGCAAACATCTTCTCTTACTTCCCACCGGAATCCTTGGCCCGGGCCAAAGCAACCTGCCGGAATTGGCACGCCGTCGCCGAAGCTGCGGCCACTTTGGCAGTGCGCCGCCGCCATCCGCCGTGGTTCGTAGCTTTGCCGGCGGGTGTTTCTTCTTGCTATGCATACAACCCAATTGGAGACAATTGGCATTTGTTATCTCTTGATTGTAATATTAAGCCAATTTCGACAATTTGTGGCTTAATTCTATCGAAACTCACCGCCGCAACTTCGCTACAGCTGTCAGTATGCAACCCCTTCACCGGACAATTCAGAAACCTCCCGCCGTTAAAAATGGCGAGAACCAATCCGGCGGTGGGGACGGTGAGCGGGAGCAGCAGTTCGAGCTTCCAGATTTACGTCGCCGGCGGAATGTCCGCCGCGGCGACGAGCGGCGGCGCGGCCTACCAGCCGACGGTGGAAACCTACGATTCGGTTTCCGACAGGTGGACCGTCGTCGGAGCTATGCCGGCGGCGTTCGCCGTGCGGCTGACGGTGTGGACCCCCCGGGAGAGCGTGCACTCGAACGGGACGCTGTACTGGATGACGTCAGCGCGAGCCTACAGCGTGGTGGGGTTCGAGATCCCGACGGGGCGGTGGAAGGAGCTGCGCGTCCCGATGGCGGAGCGGCTCGACTTCGCGGCGCTGGTGCCGAGGAACGGGAACCTGGCGGCGGTCGGCGGCGTCTGCGGCGGAGGAGATGCGTCCGTGTGGGAGCTCGGGGAAGGCGATGCGTGGTGCTTGGTGGAAACGGTGCCGTTTGAATTGGGGAAGAGACTTTTGGGGGAGAAGAGAAATTGGGCAAGTGTGAAGTGCGCCGCCATTGATGGGGCGGTTTGCTTGTACAGAGATCTCGGATCTGGAATTGTAATTTGGAGGGAGATTTTTGGTGAAGGGAAGAAATGGGAGTGGGATTGGATTGAAGGTTGTTGTTCGATTAAAGGAATCCAGATTCGGAATATTCCGATCAGTGGGTTTTTTATTCGACCTAATCTTGCTCGTTCCGCCTTCTGAGGATAAAATTCTCCGGTTGCTTCTGCGGACTAATTATTATTTTCCGGCGTGAAATTCAATTCTTCGTATTCTTCGTTTTTTTTTTGAAGCCCTTATCAATAAATTTAATTGCTGCTTTACCTCACAATTGATTTTGTAGGTACAATAGATCCTCCGTAAATTAATAACATTGCTTAAATAATAGTTTATTCTGGTTTCATACTCAGTAAAAACCTATTGAATTATTAATTCGATAATATAATATGTCGCAAAATTAATATAATTTTGCTAGTCCCGACTCCCGACTATAGTTACTAAAAGAAAAAACATAATTTATCCTTATTTCGAAATTTATTGTTGATTTATATAAAATAACCAAATTACCCTTACAAAATAACTATTGAGAAAGAACGAAAAAGAAAACAAAAGGAATTTCAGAGGGTATTTTTGACTTTCACACGCACCACACAACTAAGTTGTTAGGGGTTTTTTGGATTTTAACTATTTTTCACAGGGGTGTTCTTGCTAATTCTTTTAACACACTATGCTTTTTTAGCAATTAGATAATACACATGGGTAGTTTCTGGAAAAAAAAACACTTATTGCTGCTCAACCCCCACAATTGATTTTGTAGGTAGTTACTAAAAAGAAGAAATAAAACATAATTTATTCTTAAGATTAAATTAATAATGTTATTGGAAAATTAAAATTAACAATTTTAATACTAAATCAAATTAATACAAAGAAACGAACATTTAACTAACTAATCAATATAAAATTAATACAAATTAAAATACTCAAACCTCACCAGCAGTCAAAGTTCAACTAGTAAGCTCTTCCATTTGTCCCTGTTAACCATAAATCACAACGAATATATCACTAAAGAGTCCATTTTGAAAGTAAAAAAAACGAAAAAGGAACGAACATTCTTAAACGAGGATTTATCGTAAAATCGTAACCTGAGTGATGTACTGCTCGGCATCAGTTCGTCTCAAGAACATGATCGCGTGTTGAGCTAAGTTGGCAACTTGATCACTAAGCGCTACTTCACCGATGTCTTCTTTAACTCTCACCTTTATGTACGGATCTTTCGGCGGAACTGTATCCTAATAACAAACGCACTATCTGACTCAAATTTAATAAACACAATATTATATCTCTAATGGTTCTTTCATATCGTATTTCATTACCACAGTCAGATGAAGATCAAGCTCCGACATGTAAGATTGTAGAGTCGCGACGTGGTTCTTGAAATATTCTTTCTCGCTACTGCTCAGTTTTTCGTCGATTTCTTCGGGGAGCACATTGTCAACCATCCACCCCAAGCTTCTCACAACTTCCGCCCGATTATATCTATAAATTTGGAGATTTATTATTAAAAAAAAGAAAGAAAGAAAGAAGAAACGTCAAAGTGTTTTAATTACTTACACATAAGCCATGAGACAGCGTTTGTTGCGTACTAAAGAAAGGTGATGAACAAGTGCGCCAAACTGATCGGATTTCAGAGCTGTTTGAATTATCGTTTTCTCAGCTTCTGTTTTTCTACGTTCGTCTTCTGAATCTTCCGTTGCATCTTCGGAGCTTCTTTTATCTTTCAGTTCGTTTTCGTGCTCTTGTATTTTTCTGTAGCATACCCAAAATTGGATTTATTTGAATATTAAATCGTAATTGACAGTGAGGAAAAAGAAAAGGGTAACTACCTCATTAAAGGCTGAAGGTGAAGGAGATGTCCTTCGCATTCTTCGAGCACTTGAGAATATAGGTCATTCTGTGCGTGTACACAAACCGATGTGAATCAAATTACTAAGACCGATCGCAGTAACGAAACATAATTAGCTAAACAGCATAACTAAAAAGAAAAAAAGAATAAGTGAGCTTTATTTCTCTTGCTTTTTCTTTCTACAACTAACTTTAAATCTCTGCTTGTGCAGAGAAAACTATTAACTATAAAGGACGAAATGTGAAAATTAAATAGAATTGCAACTACAAAATAATCTTTCTTCTTCAAAGTTCGAATACTTGTTATGTGTTTACAGAATACTTGATCGATACAGAATGAAAAAATAGACCAATGGCATACTTCTTGCCAGCTTGGCAAAAAAATACGGAGCGAAGGTGAAAAATCTTGGGAAAAAAAAACAGTTTTTTTGTATAACAACTGTCCACCTTCCCTATGCAAATTCCATTCACCATTCAAAACTCGATGCAGTAGCAAAACCGTTTCGATATGGGCATAAGCCAAATAATCATATCAAATCGGAGCATAGCATCTAAGGTAAATGTTACAGGCCATGGTAAAACAACTTCACTGCTAAGAAATTTTAATTTTCCAGCCTCAATAATTAAACAAAAAAAAAAAAGATTGTATTTTGAAACATTTTTTTTATCAATTACATATTTGTAACTCTCTAGAAATCAGCTCGAACAACAAATCGAACAAGCCCATTATATAGCTTATACAAATAATGAACCTGAAACACGACTGTCAATGAAAACAAAAGATCAGTGGAAAATGCAAGAAAACTTTTAGGGTTCCAATCGATCGAAAAAAAATAGAAGATCTTGTATCTTACATTGAAAGTGCTGAGCTGCCCAGGTTCACTGGTCGCAAATTCTTTGACCAACTCGCTTGCTTTTCTCCCGTACATTCTTCCAATTTTTCAAAAGGCAACCAATTGTTTTCTGCAGAATTCTGTCACAGGCATTTCATCAAACAGTTTAGCTACAAAACAAAAGGGAGGAGAAATAGATAGAAATGTAGATAGAGACATACAAAGCAAGAAGTACATAGAAGATGAATGGAATTGTGAATGAAAACAAGTAGAACCTGGGTAATTCGACTGAAGAATGATTGGAAAAGGAAAAGAGACAATTTTAATTGAGTTGATTAAAAGTGCGATCTTGAATGGGAGAGAACAATTGACTAAAAAAGAGTTTTGGCGGGAACATTTTGGCATTTTGGATTTTGCGTTTTTTGTAATGGAAAAGAGTAATAATAATAAGGGTAAATTACAAACACCGCCCTGAAGTATTGTCAATTTATGAAAAAACCTCTCTTCTTTGGATAATTATATCTACCCAACTATGATTTTTTCTTACACCTCCATCCTTATGGTATCAAATTCGACATAAGCATCTAGATTCTGTGAAATGTGCTCTATTTTGTACTCGTTTTGTGTAAAAATACAGTTTCTGATGCACCACAATCCGATATATGCAAGCAAAAAAATACATATAACGATCATCTTACATCAAAATGTAGAGTTCGAATAAGATAAAATTGGTACAAAAGTGATAATATTACATGCAATCTAGAAAATACCACTAAATTTAATGAGTTGGGGGTGTGGTTGTAATTATCAAAACAACAGGAGGGTTTTTCATAATTTGACCATACCTCAGTGGGTGGTTGTTATTTACCATAATAATAAATAAATATTGAATTTTGCGAATTTTAAAAAGCCCAATAAAGGTGACTAGTTGTGTTAGTGGGCCGGTCACTTTATTATTTATATGATAAATAATTATGAAATAAAAAAACAAATATTTTAAAATTTAACCTTATGTGTAACTTTTTACTAGGAAATAATTTTCATGACATAATACTAATAGAAGTAAAGGTAAAGTTTTAAATATTGAATATTTTTAAACAATTAGTTCGAATATAGTAAGGAATATTATTATATATTGGATATGTCATTATAATATAAATTATGAAATAATAATATTATGATAAATCAAATAAGTTGAATTGTAGTCTTATACTTTGAAAATAATAGTATTATTAACCTTTTGACCATGATTACAATGTGCATTTTGCTACAAGTCAAACTTGTGAACATTTTGCCTCCAATAAATATTAAAGTATAGTATTCATTAGAAAAAAAAGAAGGAATTGCTATCAATTATCCATTTATAATTTAAATTTTATTTATTTATTTTTAATAAAGACAATTTGATAAAGTGATGATGACGTCTTTGATGTTCGCTAAAATTGGTTTGGGACAAGATACTATATATGTTTATACCTTATAAATATACTACAGTTAAACATTTATAAATTAATATAGTTCGAACCAACAAAATTTTATTTATTTAGCAAAATATTAAATTATCGAACTAATAATTTAATACTTGTTCCGAATCGAGATTGAGAAAAACTACTAATTACTAAATGAGATTATTAATTTACCGAGTATTTACTCTATTTCAATTATTAATAATGATTTATGAGTCGAAACGCGTAAAATTCGAAAATAGGAGGCAACCTAATTATGATTATTGCCACAAAAGTGTCCCATATTTGACATTTTTTCGAAGAGGAAAATAAAAAATTATAAGTTGCCATGTTTGAAAGGTCAATTAATAAACGCACTTTGATTTATTAATTAGCCTAAACGTTTTTAACAAATTCAAAAGAAAAGTAATTATACTAATTTTATAACTTTATCTTAATTATCAACTATATAAAAAATAAGACAAAACAAAGTCATGTGTATATACTATGATCAAACCTATATCGATAATTACACATCTATCTTCTACGTAGTAATGCAGATAATGACATATATTATATTATATTATTATTTAAAAAAAATTATATATATTAATAATATAATATATTATATTATGATATATATATAGCATATATATACATACACTTTACACACACGAGAGAAATTAACTTGGAAACAAACACCAACAAGGAAGAGACTCCTTCCCAATAAATCACAGAAGAGATCCAAAAAAAAACAACGAAGGAGAGAGGCGCGTGAGATTTAATTTTTTTTCATGGCTGGTTTGCAGAGATCTTCAGTATCGTTCAGGCGACAAGGCTCGTCGGGATTAATATGGGACGACAAACTCTTTTCCGGCGAATTGAATCAAATCGCCGACCAAAGGAAGGGAGATAAAAATATCAGACCGCGGCGAGTGGATGGCACCGGCGCCGCCGCCGCCGCCGGATTGACGATCCAGAGGAGCCGATCCAACGGCTTCAGGACTGGAAAAGTTGCGCCTGCGATAGAGCCGCCGTCGCCTAGGGTTTCCGCCTGCGGACTCTGCGGTGCTTTTGGTAAGAGTAATAAGACGCGCCGCCGCCCTCCCAAAACAGGGAAGCGCGTGGCGTGATGCCGCGACGGTGTAAGACGTCCATCTCGATGATCAATCAATTCATGCAAATTTATTTTTAATTTAAATAATTATTTAAGAATTTTATTTTAGGATATATAGGTTATAATTTATTTTTAATAATTTATTTATGCTTTAATTTCTTTTTAGCTGTTTTTAATGTACAAATTAAATGAAATTTTCTCTATATTATTATTCATCAATCACGCCTTTACAAATTTCTCTATGCTATATGACAATTTTCGTATTTTGTATTTCCTTTTAGCATTTGTTTTGTTTAATTCAGTACTTAAATCAACTGCTCAGATTTTTTGTTCGATTATTTTATCTGTCACGGGTAAAATACTAGTTATTTTGTACTGGTACAATGAAAATTCTTGAATTGGTGGATGATTTGTAGAAGAAAAAAGGTGATGAAATTTTTTTTTTTTTTTTTTTTTATTAATTGTACCTAATATTCATTGACTCTAAGTTACTATTGAATGATTATTACAAAGAAAAACAGACGTAGGGGAAATTGTAGTGTTTAATTATTTAATTTGGCATAATATTCCCAATAGATAATTAATAATTAATAATTAATAATTAATAATACATACATCTAAATAAAAATAAAAATTGAGAATATTGTTGGTGAACCGGAGAATGTGGATGAATATAAGGATGTGTACAAAGTCAAGGATCTTTACGTAATTTCGTTACAATTAATAATTTATTAGATAATTAATATAGTGATAGTTAGTTAGGTAATTAAGTACGACTAATTAACCACCAAAATTATAGCCGTACCCTAAGCAGAAAAGAATTAATCATTCTTCTTTACTCATTAATTCTGGAAGTCGTCGTAACTAATTCACGTAAACTAAAAAGGTGTTTGACTAAGCTTATAAGCTATTGAAAAGAGCTTATAACATCTTAATTAAACACACATCACAACTTGTGCTGCAGGCACATACGTGTTAAGCATATCACAGCCATACACGTGTCCTACATGCATATAAATCATAAATTATCGTTCACTAAGATAATTATACATTAATCAAAATTTGGCATTTATATACGTATATACCCCATTACTATCCGGGTTTCCTTATTAGGGTTAATATGCTATGAGCCCCTCAATGGAAACCGAATTTGAACTAAATAACAAGTTCAAATTCATTTTTTTTATTAAATCCTTAATTTCAAATAATATATGGGCCACATTCCTAATTTTTTTTTATCCATATATTGCCCTTATACCCTAAATTATATAACCTACATATATTCACGTTTCTCCAATTCAAATTTATTTCATTTTTTGGTTTCTCTCACGTTCTCTCTCTTCCTCCGTCTCTCACACGATCTGTGTATCTTTTTTCAATTCCGTTTTTTTTCTCGCTCTCTCTCTCTCACCTCTCCATCCCCACACACCTCTCTTGCTAATTAATTCAGTAGTAGCCGAGGCAGGGGTTGTGATGGAAAGGGCGGCAGCGGGGCTGTGGTGGAGGAGGAGGCGGCGGTGGCGGGCTGTGGTCGAGGCGGCGGGCTGTGGTGGTTGAGATGGCGACGAGGGATTGTGGTAGTCGAGGCGGCGGCGGGGGATATGGTGGTTGAGTCGGCATCGGCGATTGTGGTGGTTTAGGCGGCGGGCTGTGGTGGTCGGGATGGCGGCGGGGCTGTGGAGGAGAAGGCGGCGGCGGCGGGCTGTGGTGGTCAAGCCGGTGGGCTCTGGTGGTCGATATGGCGGCGAGGGGTTTTGTGGTTGTGGCGGCGGGATGTGGTTAATTATGGTGGAGATTTGATCTTGATCTTCAAGAGATTTTGTTTGATTTGGGTTCAAAATCGTAAATCTGGATTTCCCAAAGTTCGTAGGTGACTATGGTTGCGATAGATGCAGACGTTGGCGGCTAGGGTTTGACGGCTAGGGTTGGCAAGGATTGTGTGTTTGTTGGCTGCTAGGGTTTGGTAGTACACACTAGTAGTAGACCATAGTGGACCGTAGTATACCACAGCCTACTATAATATTACAACAAATAAAATATTAAAATATATATATATATATATATATATATATATATATATATATATATATATTGAATCAACAAAAACGAAAAACGAGTTTTGTTTTGTAATTTTCAATAATATTGTAGATTATTTTTTTAATAATAGTGTAAAAACGATAGTACACCATAGTACAACATAGTACACCATAGTATACCATAGTATTTTTAAAATTTGATGAATTATTTAACAAAAAAAGAAGAAAAATAAAACGTAAGTTTCAAAAAAATGTTATAAATAAGGAAAAAAATTGTTTATATATAATAACGTAAAAAATGTAGAGTGAAAATTGAAAAAATAACGATGAGTGAAAGGGCATTTTTGGAATGAATTTAATAAAGAATGTGAAGCAAATGTTTAGTTGAGCTTGTCATTTAGTTCTAATTAGTTTTGTCACCAGGGACCTATATCTTAAGACCCCTTCTTATTATTTGTCTTCTTCTCATGAAAAAAGAACGTGCAACAAACTATACAGGTGCATTGGATAATCAACATATACTCTTGTATAATAGTTTGTAAATGAGACGAGAGATATAAACCATACAAGGTTAACTATGTGTGACAAGTTCGATTTAACGACCATTGGCAAAGGTATTCGAACTTGGGTCCATTAACACAAGTTTACTTGCTCCAACCGCTAATCCATCATTGCCGAATAGTAAGTCAAAGTTATATTAATTTTCCAGCATGGTGTCTTAGGCGTAATTAGGGGTGTGAACGAGTCGAGCTCGCCTCTTTTGGCAGGCTCGAGCTCGAGCCCAAGCTCATTTTGTTGTTGGTTTTTTTTTAATATTTGTTTAATTACTATACTGTATTATTATTAAAAATTATTTAAAAAAATACAAAATAAACAATAAATTGTAATTATATATATATTTTAATATTTATATCTTGTTTTTATTTATTTCTATAATATTTTATATTATTATACATTATTTAAATAAAAAATAATATAAAAAAATTAAAATTATAAATAAGGCTCGTGAGCTCACAAACAACTAAAAACTGACTCGAACTCGGCTCGTCAGAAAGCTCAAGCTCGCGAGTTCGAGCTTTTTTTGGAGCCGGGCTTATAGAGCTCACGAGTCGGCTCGACTCGTTTACCACCCCTAGGCGTAATTAGTAAACTGTAATTGGGCTGAATTGGATCCGGTCCATCGGGCCCATTTAAATTGTTACCAGGCTGCACTGCTGCTGTTGTATTTGATGACAAGTCTTAGTTAAAAAAAAAAATGCATTTTCCTGCACTTTCTAAAAATGATTAGTTTCATTTTCTTAAGATATTAAATAACTATATATATATATATATATGATATTGCACCTCATGAATTATAAAATGATAATAACTAGATATTCACACTAAAAGATATTAATATTTCTCAACATGATTTATCCATCTATATAAAAATGTCAAACGAAGACTTCATTAACCTTAGTTGACTTGAGCTGAACTTCAATTTTTTTTTTATTTTTTTTTAAATGTCAAAAGTCAAATGTTGACCAATCTCAAGAAACCTCAAACTACAAAGTCTTCCTTCCCCCATCTACTGTGTAAATACTTAGCCGCAAAATGAGATCTTCTTCTTCTTCAAATGCATTCTCTTCCAAATTCTCTGTTCTTAAATTTATATGCAGCAGCATTTATTTAATAATATCAAGAATCAGATATTCAAATGGGTTTAATTTTAATCCATTAATTCATCTCCCCACAAATGTTCTTTACAGGAACACTTCAACTCAGCTTCTCAACATCAATGATTTTGGTGCTCAAGGAGATGGCTTCACTGATGACACCAAGGTATTATATATATATATATATATATATATATATATATATATATATATATATATATATATATATATATATATATATATATATATATATATATATGAGTGTGTGTGTGTGTGTAATGTGTGTGAAATGAGTTACTTAATTTGTTTTTTTGTTATTCTATTTTTATTGTATCATGAATATGGATATGATGATGATGATTTAATTTGATGGTATAAAGAGTTTTCGAGAAGTTTGGAAGGCGGCATGTTCGTCGATGTCGGGAGCCGAAATCGTAATCCCCGAAATGAAAACTTATCTAGTTCGTCCAACTGATTTCGTGGGGCCTTGTCGCTCGAAGGTGACGTTGAGGGTAAGTGCTATTTGATTGCATCTTAATTCTACTTATAAATTGTAGTTTATGTAAATAGTGCTTCAAAATATAGGTTTACGGTTTTATTGTTGCACCACAAGATCCGGAAGTTTGGGATGGTTTAGACGTAAATAAATGGCTCTATTTCCGAAGAGTGAATCGCCTCAATATCGAAGGTGCCGGTGGATTGATCAATGGAATGGGGCATGAATGGTGGGCCCGGTCTTGCAAGAAAAACGAATCGAATGTACGATCACACTTTCTTGATCATGTTTTATATATATATATATATGTGTGTGTGTGCGCGCGCGCGTGTGCGCTTTCTAATATTGATGATTCCGTATTTTCTTTCGCAGCCTTGCACAAACGCGCCAACGGTTAGTGCTCTCTCTCTCTCTCTCTCTCTCTCTCTCACACACACACACACACACATTTGTTTAACGAATAAATGGCTGCATTATATATAACAATGCAGGCGGTTACTTTCGACAAATGCAAGAACTTGAAAGTGATAAATATTACTATATTCAACAGCCAACAAACTCACATTGCGTTCACGCACTGTAAGGGTGTGGAAGCTTCCGGAATCATACTCATGTCATCGGATAGCCCTAGTACCAACGGGGTCCACATAAGCGCGTCGACCAATGTTGAACTCGACACTATTACTGTCAGCACAGGTCTTTCGAACAATAACTCTTACGTGTTTCAGTAATTCCGACATTTTAATTTGGAAATATTTTTTTTAATATATAAATGAAACAGGCAATGAATGCATATCGATAGGGAGTAATTCCTCTGCTATTCGCATGAAAAATATTTTCTGTCGACTAGGCCATGGTATAAGGTAATTGCATTCTTTGCCATTGTTATCCGATTTTTTAAATTCGTTGCTGATTTAAGGGTCCGTTTGGCAGCATCGGAAGTTTGGGAAAATACAATTCATCTGGTATAGTCGAGGATGTTGTATTAAACCGAGCATTTTTCTTCCATACTGAAACTGGTCTGAGGATCAAAACATGGCAGGTAACTTTTCTTTACAACTCATTATTATTATTATTATATATATATATATATATATATATATATATATATATTTATTTTATTTTTATTTTATTTTTTCAGGGAGGCAGTGGTTTTGTAAGAAAAGTTGTGTTTGAGAACATTTGGATGATCAATGTTTCAAATCCTATTGTAATAGATCAATACTATTGTAACTCTCAATTGACTTGTCTGAACCAGGTACAATATTTCCTCCGTTTTCGAGCCATTAAATCGGTTTTTTTTTTTTTTTTTTTTTTTTAAACATTAGAAAATGCAGACTTCGTCGGTCAGAATCGAAAACGTGTCTTACATCGGAATCAGAGGAACTTCAGCCACAGACGAAGCTATAAAATTTGCATGCAGTGACAGCTGTCCATGTAAAAGATTACTTCTCGAAAATATTGAACTCACGACTTTTGAATGGAAACGCTGCAAAGTCCTTTTGCTGGGAAGCATACGGAAGAAACTCGAGATTAGTGTATCCGCCTTCTTGTGTTTCATCAGGTGATATTATCATTCGACATCAAATTCAATTCAATTCAACGAGCTGGCGTAACGATCAATTTGCACTCTTTTAATCAGGAAAAAAAAATAATAATAATAAAATCATCGGTTGCAATTTTTTTGATGTCTTGTAGTGATTTTTATACCTGTAGTAGTGAAAAAACATTGTATATATTTAAGGTTGCCACAAAACATGTAATACAGAAATTAAATTCGATATTCTCGATGAAATTAACATATAATTTCATTGACCACAAATTTCACCAATTGGAATAAATAGATAAGTATAAAAAAAATCGATTGAAATTTTCGAGTGTTTTTAGTGGGAAGTACTAACGAACACCGAGTTTAGGGCAACCGACAGCAAGAGGCAAATCTAGGTTCTTAACAGTCCGGAAAGTTCTTGGAACCATCTTGTCGACATAGAGTGTTCCTTCTAGATGATCACACTCGTGCTGAAATATTCGAGCTTGCCAACCCGAAGCATTGACTTTGACCGGTTGACCATTCCGGTCAAACCCCGTCACCTCAACCTCCAAGTGTCGCTCTACTACTGCTCTGAACTCATCCACACTGCCGAAAAACAATAATCCATATTTTTTTCTCTACGTTGCAATAATACGCACTAACGATGTTTCAAGAAAGCTATAATTGCATATTATCTTCGTGACATTATAAATTTTCGATTTCGATTTTCCACAATTTAACATAAAATAAAGATAGATACGAAAGTTACACGAAATCGTACCTCAAACACCCTTCGAAAAAGAAAGCACTTTTGTTGCCTATCTTCTTTAGCTTCGGATTTATCACAACCTGCACTAAAAGCGAGCATAAAAAAATCATCCCGTGTCAAAGTTCCCGATAATTTTATTGCGTTTCGATATTTTGAATTTTGACATACCAAAAGATCGAAAGGCCGCCGGTCTTGCGCCTCCGTCTCTTGCTTCGACGCGTAACTAATGTACTCTTTCGTATCTTCCAATACGATTATCTAATAACAACAACGACACGTAAAATAACCAATTAATCGATTTTTTTTTAATTTTTTTCATCTACCACACACAATTAAATCTTTGAACTATATTCTCGAATCTTCGAATTGCCCCATTTTAATGAAATGCATCATCATGTAAATGTTTGTGGAAAATATAATTATCTATTTAATTTGACTATTAAATTATGAATCATATAATTATAAAAAAAAAAAAAAACCATCAAAGAAAATCAAATTAAAATATACACTATACAGTTCATACATCAAAATACAAACATGAAGAAGAGTGTGAAATTACAATACTAACCCTCAAGGGAATGCCGATTTGAGGAGCAGCAAGGCCAACGCCAGGAGCCACTCTCATAACCTTCACCATATCATCTATAATCTTCTGGATCCGGTCCGACCCGATTTCGTCGGGTCGAATCTCCTGAGCCGGTTCGTGGAGAACCGGGTCGCCGGCTTTTACTATGTCCGGCAACGGATTCTTCTTCTTCTTGTCACCCATTCCGATGAACCAGCCCGCCCGGGAAGCTAAACCGGAGCTGTGACTTCTCCTGGGTGCTGTAAGTATGGGCCCGATAACGGGTTGTGGATGCCCATTAACGGGTCGGGTCAGGATATGAGCTCTTGAAATGGCTCTGAAGGACTTGTTTGTGAAGGTTAGGGGAAAGATTCGGTGGCTGAATCTCTGAATGGTTTCCATTGATTTCAGTATCAGAAACTCTGTTTGATTTTCATTTTTTTTTCCCGAAGGAGATAATTTCTTGGGTATTCGATATATGGGCTTGGTATTGGGCCGACCCGATTTTAATTGGGCTTCGTATTGGGCCGACCCGATTTTAATTGGGCTTGGTATTGGGCCGATCCGGTTTTAATGGACTCGTATTGGAGCAACTTAATTGGGTTTGTTTGAACTTCAATCCAATTTAAATTTTTTTTTTTTTTTTAAACAAAGGAATCTTATTGACATTTAGTTTAGATTTTTAAAATATTTAACACCTCTCTCTATATTAAATGTAAAGGAAAATTACGGCCACCCCATGAGGTATAGCCAAATCACGAAAAAAAAAAAATCATTTTGTTTGGCTAATTACAGCCACCTCATTCTTTTAAATATTTTTACATTAAATTTATGTAATTCAATTATTTATCGAACCAAATCGTATATTCAGTTCAGTAAACGGTATGAAATGTTGGCGTACCAAAATTTCAATTCGATTTCACCGATTTAACATCCCTAAATTTACCTCTGAAGGGACATTTTCGTAAGATAATACATAGTTGAGGGCTGTATTACCCAAACATGATGGGGGTTTTTGTTATTTAACAATAACTCAGGGGTGGCCGTAATTTGCCTTAAATATAAATGCTAAATGTAGTCCCGCAAGGAAAGTTCTAGCGATTGGATCAAGTGAGTCTGAGTCGGTTGACCCCGGTTCGAATTCCGTTGCCAACGGGCGAGCTTGTCACGGATGATAAGCCTAGTGTGATTTACATATCTCATATAATTTACAAGCTATTATACGAGAGTCTAGATTTAATATCTTGTTTGGTTAGCCTAATTTGAAGTTAATTTTGATACATTAATAATTAAGAATGATATTTTGTTGGTTAGCCTAATTTAAAATCATAATTTACGCAATGATTTGCCTACACGATAATTTGTTGATATGTAGTGGATTTGATTTTGTGGGTGAGAATTAATCCAAAAAAAATTATTGTATAATCACATCATATCTATTCCATAAGAACTCTAATAAAGTTATTAAATTGAATATTAAAACCTTTAACCACCAATTTCATAATAAAAAAAACATAATTTTTTAGGCTTCCAGTTGTTTTTGGAAACTTCATTACCAAATTAATTAGGTCGCCTGAAAGAAGGATCCTTTAATCCAGAATTTCATCCAGAAATTTGTAACAAGAAAAGGCGAAATCTCTCGCCCTTGGGACCCTCATCCCTTGGCTCGACAAGTATTTGATAGAGGAATGTAAATCATGGTAACTCAACGGCCCATTAGGATAGTGGACCCGAACTTGGTGCCCACAAAGAACCAGCCTTTATTGGAGTTGAAATTATCACACTGCGACTTTCAGGATTCGATACTAGGACTTTGTACCCTGAACCAGAAATTTGAATCTATCAGCTAATGACCAATGATAGATTAATTCAATCCTAATTTATAATTATTACATCTATACCCCTAGTCAAATATATTATATGCTACATAAGGTCAACCCATAATGCACATATGGTCATAATCAGTAGCAAAGTAAGAAATTCATGTGCTTAAACTTAAAGTCGTGTATATGTACCTAACAATCCAGCTTTTTTTTTTTCCTTCCTATTTTAGGCAAAGATGCCATACCAAATTAAATTATCAATTGCCATAACAATATATTTTATTACTTTTAATAAACCTACTTAATTTTAAATTTTTTTTACCACAATTATCATCAAGTATTTTTTTTTCAAATTGTATAATTAACAAGATGGTTTGATTTTAAATAATCACGTGTATATATGCAGCAAATGATACATTTTACCTCCATTAATTAGTGCAAGAAAAAAATAAATTTAAATATATGGTTTACTATTTTATATTTTTATTTTCTTTAATGAACGACTCTAACGTCAATCATATATGGTGTACTGCTCGTATAACAGCCTGCAAAGTACACGAGAGACGTAACTACATTAGGCTGACCATGCATGTGTGAGAAGTTCGACCTTGCCACCGTCGGTTGACAAGTGGATTCGAAATCTAGGTTATCTGACACGGATTCACTTGCTTCAATCGTTAGTTCATTCCTTACGGAATTGTTAGATGTAAACTTAATTAATTAGATTGATGAAATGTACACGCTTTCGGTTGATTTGCCATGTCTTAAGCCGCAAGGTTTTACTTTTTGAGTGCTTTTCATCACAATCGCGTGAGTAATTCTTACTACTATCAATTATTTTATTATTATTACTCACCAATAATTTTATTAATTCTCACATTTTCTCCCCATTTTTACTTGTTTTCACGTGAAATATCTTAGTTTTATACCAACTATTTATATTATAATATAGACTTTTGACTGAAATTGAAATTAATTTAATTAAAAAAAAAAAAAAAGTCCTTTTGAGTACTTTTCGATAATTTCAAAAAGCTACTAATTTTTGCTTTTGCTTGTGGAAAAGTCTCCCATGCATGTAAAATGTACATAACTTAAAAGTTCAAACACTCTTTGTTTCCTAAGCAAACCCTATAAATAATATTTGAAATTTCTTGCTATAAATATAGATCACCAGCCAATAAAAATCATTATTATCCAAGAAAAAAAGAGGGAAGGATAAGATATAAAATTAGGTCAAATGAATAACTCGATTCGATCATCCTTTTTGAAAACGATCGACGAAGAAGAAAAAGTTGATCAGCTCAGAAGTGATGCGGTTATAAGAGAGATCAGAGTTGACGGCGGCGCTCGGCCGGAAGTAACAAAAAAAGTGGTGGTGCCGCCGCCACCGAAGAATAAGGCGGAGATCAAGAAGAAGCCGAGTGATGAAGATATAAACGACAGTGCAGAAGCGTTCATAAGGAAATTTAGGCAGCAGCTTGTTCTACAGAGGCTTGAGTCTATTGAGAACTATGAACAAATGCTTAAAAGGGGAACTTAGAAATTATATAGTTTAAGTTATTTAATATTATTTTGATTTATTTTTGTGTATGTGATATTGTTGGATTTGTTATTTGTTTATCTAATCCTAATTAATTTATGTGGTGGTTCAATTAATAAAAGTAAATAAAGGGTTAGTCCATTTTTTGTTGGATTGTTAGCTTATTAAAAATCTCATTTTTTCCCGGTTTTTTCCAATATATTGAAAACCGGAACGGACCGGCCGGTTCTAGGGGTGTAAATGAGTTGAGCCGGATCGTGAGCTTGGTAGCCGACTCAACAAAAGCTCGAACTCGAACTCGATTTTTTTGAGTTCGAGCTTTCTGACGAGTCGAGTACGAGCTCATTCTTAGTTGTTCGGCTCGCGAGCTTGTTTATTTATTTATTTTTATTTTAAATATAATTAATATAAATTTAAGTAGTAATTCATACGAATAATTAAAAAAAAAATTACAGGTCATTTTTTAATTATACTTTATAATAATAAAATTCTAACAATATTAATAAAAAAAAAAAGGTAAAAAAATACACAATTAGATATTATAAAAATAAATATAAATAATTAAAAAAATGAAGAAAAAAACCAATCGGACTACGGTTGAACCAGTCCAACCGTGACGGCCTGACCCAGTTGTTTGTCCGGTTCGATGTTCGGGCCGGTTTTATAAATATATTTTTTTCACGTTTAGATTTACCCCCAACCCTACTTCCCCAGTGTAAAAAGGATTTAAATATTGCTAAAAAAATAGTTTCTTGATTTGATTTACATTTATTTCACATATATAATATTTTTAAGGATAAATTACAAATCCCTAACTTACATTGATTAAAATTTAAAATAAAATCTTACACTTTATTTGTGAAATTACAACTGCCCCTAAAATTAATACCACCCATAAAAAATGAAACTATATATAAATAATCTAAATTGACCATGAATAAAAAGAGAAAACAAATCGAAATTTAAATTTCAAATAAACCGCCAAGGTATGTACATATTACAAATAAACCCCTATTGTTTACAAAATTACATCAGTCCCCTTAACTGGTGACACATTACAGATTGTGATGTGATAAATGTCGTTCGAGCTTTAATAATATCGTTTCGACTTCAAACGTGATTTTGATCATTTTTTATTCCAAATTTTGCAAAACCCGAAATAAAATTTGTAGTATTCCGAGTTAGTTTTCTAATCCAACTTGAATCACCAAAATTGGATGTCGGACGAGAAAGATATACATGAATCAATGGATATTGCCGACAACTTTGATGTATTGAGGTATCTAAAATTCAAAATGTGACTAATTCATGCATAACTTTGTCAGATAGCATCCAATCTAGCGGATTTAAGTTGGATTAAAAAGCTAACCCAAAGGACTACAATTTTCGTGTTCCGAATTTTACCAAAATTAAAATAGAAATATATCAAAATCAGGTTCGATGTCAAAACAATATTAGTAAAATTGAAACAACATTTAACATTTCAGTTATAGATTCTATTGAAAATCTTGAATTATTTGAATTGCTCCTAAATTAAAAATAAAAATAAAAAAAATTAAAAAATGCTATCAGCATTTCTTCACTACAACAATTAACAGTGGAGCAGTACCAGAAAATTATATATCTGTCAGTACTGAACTTTTGATTGATTGATTTTGATACACGAATTTGAACCAATTATTTTGAGTACTGCTTTTACACCTACTTATTTAATTCTGTATTGAGAATGTGACTAATGATAATGCTTTATCTAATCTTAATTATAAAAATTAATACACACTAAACAATAAAGCTAATTAGACTTCTTTTTTTTTCATTGAACGAACTACAAATCACATTAATGAATAAAACTTAAATTCGGTTCGAATCGCCTAAACCCGAGACCCAACTCTAAGAAAATGCATAAAACTTAAATTCGGTCCAACCCGTTTTAGTTTAGATTCAAATCCATATCGATCAATTACACATTTTGACCCAGAGACTGTACGCGCTAGACCCATTACCATCACACAAAAGAAATTAATATTTTTCTAACTTTCATATAATATTTTGCTTGTATATTTTAACAGAAAAAAATCATAAATTAAAATACATGTAAGACGACCGGTGGTGGTCAACAAGTGATAACTGATAGGTACGACATACGAGAAATGAGTTCTAAGTAATAAAATGGTGTATTGATATATGAAAATAGCCGCAATGGAAATTGACATGATAGATTGGTAAATAAAATCATAAATTAATTAATTTATTAAATATGTTATAATCACGCGGATCGGTTTTGAGTCGGTTCTAATAAGATTTGTAATCCGACCAAGAACCATCTGGTTCTAGAAACTCAAGTTCATTATCCAATCCAGAACCATTTAGCTTACTCAGACCCGTTTCGAACGGGTCGTTTTCGGGTCTCCAAACCCATACCCAGGCAATATCATCCCTAATAAGGCTTCTATCTCATAATTTAAAACATTAAAATTCGAAATCAAAAAAAAAAAGAAAAAAAAAAAAAAAAAAAAGAAAAACAAGAAAACACACACACACACACAAGACAGAACTCGTGGATATCAATTTGGAGCGAAGGCCAAAAGCGTCATTATTAATTAATATTATTATACCAAACACGACAACAACAGAAAAGCACAGAACAATTACAAAAGGAGCAAACAGACAAAAGGTTAGGCCAAGAAAGGGGGGGTCCCTCCGTCCGTCCGATCCAGATCCAGATCATCAGATCCTACGGCAGCTAATCAATGCTGACGCAACACCCAATTATTTTCCCAACTAAGGTTGTACAACGGGAGCGTGGATCTGCTGCGGCTGCGGCTGCTGCTGCACCACCATCTGGAGATTAATCCTTGAGCAAGAACGTACCATCTCACCAGCCAAAGGTACAATCGGCATGTTGTCGCAGTTGCATATCTCAATCATGAAACCATCTGGGTCGTGGAAAAATAGTTGGTCCACGTAGATCCCACCTTCCTCTACTCTCTGCCGCACCCAATCAATCCCCATCTCCGTCAGCTTCTTCTCCACCATCCCCATGCTCTCGCACTAGTGTAATTAATTACCACCAATAATATTAATTAAATAATTTAAATATTAAATAATAATAAAAACTTTTTTCATAAATATGCTCCAACATTCAACAATATACTTTTGTGTGTATAGGTCATGTATCTAAAGTTAGAACTTCATGCACGACTGTTTGATTATGACATACAACCAACCACCTATTTCACTACATATTTTATCCTATGTAAATAAAATAAAAAATTAAACCACAAAAGTAATTATTTAAATATTTCATTAAATGTGTCAAAAATTGTATAGTTTTAGACTAAAATGACATTGTTTTATAGCTAATAAGGGAGGGATCAATTGAGTTGAAAAGAGTGCTACAAAGAGTAAATAAATGTATAAACTGGAAATTAAGTGATTAATTAAGTGCGGGTGGTAAATTTAAATTGACAGATAATATGAAACCAAAAAATTTCTTAAAAGTAACTGATGACGATGTATCGATCAAAATAGGCAAATGGAGTTTTCGTCGAATCCAAAGGCGAAACTAATAATCTAACGACGATGTTGATCGCGTACTTAACCTGATATAATACTTCAAAATTCTTAGTAAACATTATTAATTAATGTCGTGTGATTTAATTATGATTGAGATTAGTTGAGGCAATTAATTAATAAATTAAACTACTCATCTTTTTTGTCTTCTCTTTGTGGATCCATTAATTATCAGTCACATCAACCTCTAATCATCATTAGCTCCCAATAATATTTCATAACACGAAATTAAATTATAATAAAAAAAAAATAGGCATAATAAAGATTCGAATTTTTAATATTAAGGAGAAAAAAAAAACAAATTAATTACCTGGAAGGAAATGTGATTATCTTTAGGATTAATCACAGTTTTCTTCGGCATATTCTGAGGATCTTCTGATTGAAGGAGATGTATCCCAATCCCATGACCAAACAGCCTGCATACATATACAAATTAAATCATCAATAAAATTAAATCAAATAAATCATCTATGATCAGGTGGTTCGCAGCTTACCATGCACCGTCAAATTTCAACGACCCAGGCCTTCTGACAGGTACAAACCCAAGGACGTTTTGGTAAAAATCAGTTGATTCATCGACTGATTTGCAGACAAGTGAGATGTGGTTCAGGGAAGAAAGGTGCAGAGGATTATCCTTGTTTTCCTTCATTTTTTTTTCCTCGTTTTTTTTTTCTTTTCAAGAAATTGAAATAATTAATTAAATTTACAAAATTAAAGAAAAAAAAATGATCAACCCTTTTGGACAATAGCAAAATATGGGGAAAATGAAAGATATATATGAATTTATGAGTTATGTGGTATGGCTGAAAGAAAGGGAAAATGCAACGGAATTTATATAGAAGCAGCGGCGGGTGGGTGTGGATCGGCGGGTTGTTTGCCACGTGGATACTTCGATTTGTACAGGTGTTTCTTGTTTGATTCTTCCGTCACCTAGGGTAGATCCCACCCTCTGCTGACTAGGATTATCATTATTGAAATACACACCACCTAAATAATTATATAAAATTGTGGGTAAATTACAAACACGCCCCTATGTGAAAAAAAAACTCATCTTGTTTGCGTAATTATATTTACCTCCTTCAGTATGCACAGTCTAACATTTGACCCCTAACGGCGTCAATGTAATAGGGTCGTTTAGATTCCGGAAATATTCCTAAAAAAATACCAATTTTACCCTTGTAGTACTGTTAGGGGTGTAAATGTTAATTGTCTTAATTAATAGGGGGTTGATAGTAACTTTTTTAGATCATATAAAATTTAGTCATCTTGTTAGGGATGTATCGTATATTTGTCCCCTAACGGTCTCAATGCTTGCAAGTTTTTCTTCGTAAAAACTATCATCTAATACAAGCTTAGACAACGAAACGAGAGTTATATACGTGACTCGGAATTTTAAAGTTAATAATTGTTTCTGGAGAAATTAAATATAATTTAAATAGCTATTTTGCCACGAAATATATTATTTTTCTTTAGAAATAATATATAGGTGTGAAAAACTTTTTTTGTATTAACATGTTTTAGTAATTTATTTTATTTAAGGGAATTTAGATATTTTATGATTTTTATTAAAAAAAAAAAAAAAAAAAAAAAAAACTGAGTAATAGTTAGTTGGAGGGGTTAAATGTAATTTTACAAACAAAAACATTTTTTTTATTATTTAGACATACTTTGAGGGGGTTATTTGTAATTTAGATATTGAATTTATTTTTCTTGCACCAAGTCAAAGAACAATAAATTCTTCTGTCAAGGACTAAAGATATTTTCTTGGTTCTGTTGAAAGAAATCAAGCACCGTTGGTTAGAGGGAGGTAAATGTAATTTCACAAGCAAGGGGTTATTTCTAATTGACCTTATCCTGGGGGATGTATTTGTAATTTAGCTAAAATAATTAACGGATCCATACAGAGGGTACTCTGTCACCGTCATTGCCACGTCAGTTCTTCATTTTCTTGTAATTAGACCTCCTGCACGGAAGTTTGTCTGCACCAGATTAATCAATCATTTAATGGGAGGAAACCAATTAATTTAATTTGAATTAACCAGCCTTAACAGTTGACAAAACGACGCCGTAAGAATTACACAAAGATTTTGACCCATTACTCATGTATATCTTGCGATACAAGTGTGGGCACACAGTAAACACACACACATTACACGCATGCGTGTATGATTACGTGGAGATCTTAGCCACGCTGTATGGAGATAACTTGTTAGGACTGTTTTTAGGTTTACCTGAAATTGTGGAATTTATTCGGAGGAGAGATGGTCAACCTAAAAAATAAAAAATGTAAATTAAATAATGATTGATTAAATAAAAAAAAAAAATAGGGTTGTGATTGATATTAGGAATTTCTCAGAATTTTATCCATTTTGTTATTTACAATTAGCTATATTATGATTGAATGTAGAGCCAGTTTGTAAGAGTAGCCGAAATTTAGTGTTGGAAGGAACAAAAATTACACATTATCCACAAATTTTAGGACATGAAATCGGACAGAATAGATTGCAATCCCTAATTTTTTCAAAAAACCTAATTTTTTTCGCAGGTAGAAAATGACTTCCGGTTCCAATTTAAGAATTTTGGAATCCAAAAATCCATTACAAATTCAAAGAAACCTTGAAATTTAAAAAGAAAAATGATTTTTTTTTTTAAAGTATTGGATTTTCTTTCTAATAGAAAAAAACAAAAAAAACTTGACATTATCCAATCTAGGAGTGAAAGTCGGATGGATCGGATCGGTCATCGAAACTAGCCCTTTCAGAAATTTCCAAAAAAAATTGGAAGTACATAATCAATTCCAAAAATTTCGAAATCTAAAAGTACATTCCAATTTCAAAAGGCCCGGAAAAAATTGGGAAATCGCATAGGTTTTAAAAATTTAAAACTTAGTGGAATTTTTTTGAAAATATTATAATTTTTAAAAAATAAAAACATCCACTTTGATAAAAGTAAAACTAATAACTACTAAATTTCAGTTCAAAAAATAAACCACATAATAATATCCGATAAAACTTCTAACGACAATTCAATATGTCAAAATTCTAAAACATAACTTAAATCAAATTGCTGTCAGAAAACTGAATTTTTTTAAAATAAGTATTATATAAAATAGGGTAAATAGCACTCAACCCTCTTGTGGTTTTGGGTATTTTGCACATGACCCCCCTTATGGTATGAATTTAGGCACATAACCCCCTTGTGGTTTTGACATTTTGCACATGACCCCCTTATGGTATGAAATTAGGGCACATAACCCCCTTGTGGTTTTGAAA